AAGTTCTGCAGCATGAACGCGCCACACTTCCCCATGAAGAAAGTACTACTGCTGCTGTGGAAAACAATACTGGTCAGTGTGTTACAGTCAGGTTGTTGCATGTAATGCAAATGAATCTATTTCTGTCCATGTCTGCATTTTTGTTTTGCTTTTTTTTTTTTTTTTTTAAATAAAACCAGTTTCACAAACACTCAGCGCCCACTTCATTATTTAGACCTTGCTGGTACCTGGTTGGGCCTTATTTTGCTTTCATAGCTGTCTTAATAGTTTGTGGCATAGATTCAACAAGGTGCTGGAAATATTCCCCAGAGATTTTGGTCCATATTGACATGATGGCATCGCACAGTCGCTGTAAATTCGCTACTCTGTTGCATTGACATCTGGTGACTGTGGAGGCGCTGGAGTGCAGTGAACTCGCTGTCAGTTTGAGATGGTTCGAGTTTTGCGACGTGATGTTTTATGCTGCAGGAAGCAGCAGTCAGAGGATGGGTACACTGTGGCCATAAAGGCATGACAAGGTCAAAAACAGTACTGCGTTTTGTAGGCTGTGACGTTTAAATGATACAAAATTACCACTGCGGGGCCCAAAGTGTGCCAAGAAAATGTCCACAGTATTACACCAGCAGCAGCCAGAATAGTTGATACAAGGCAGGATGGATTCATGCTTTCATCTTGTTTACACCAGATTCTGACCCTGGCGTCAACAAGGCATTTTCTCCCAGAGAACTGCCAATCATTGGATAGTTTCCTTTTTTTTAATACCATTGTCAGATGGCTATGATGTGGAAAATCTGAAAAATACACAGCCCATCTGGCACTAACGCCATGCCAGGTTCAGCCACTTGGATTGTCTTTCCTCACCATTCTGGTGCTCAGTTTGAACTTCAGCAGGTCGTGATGACCACGTCTACATGACTAAATACACTGAATTGCTGCCATGTGATTGGTTGATTAGGGGGGGGAGTCAAACAGGCTAATATTTTTAAAGTGTGACCAACATTGTCATCCATTGTCAGCTGGGCAGGGATAGCTCAGTAGGTAAAGTGGTTGCCCCATGATGGGAAGGTTGGGGGTTCGAATCACACTGCTACACACTGCTCCCTGGGTGCTGTACTGGTGGCTGCCCACTGGGTGAATGGGTTAAATGCAGAAGAGTTATTTCCCTATGGGGACTAACACATACACGTTATTGTTAACAAAATTTTATTCCCCTGTTAATAGACATTACTTAAACTTTGTTGGTAATATTTTATAACACATGAATCATTGTTTACCTGGGTCTTTTCTGTCTTCCAGTTTACTTTGGGAGGTTTTGAGGAGCTCCAGGAGATGAAGGTGCGACACCGGGAGCGTCTCAACCTGCCCCCACTGCCAGAGGACAGCATCAAGGTGGTCAGGGCCATGAGAGCGGCCTCGCCCCCGGCCTCCGCCATGGAGCTCATCGAACAGCAACAGCAGCAGAAGAGAGGCCGCCGCAGCCGCAGGGTACTAGCCCTCGAGCACACACGGACATCACACTGAAGCTAAATCCATTTAGACAACGTTTAGGTGACAGTGTCACTTTAGTGTATATTGCTGGCATGCTGTTATTAATACAAACTCATGTAATGTTGATCAGTTTCATCTATCTACCCTAGTAGACTCTCACTCTCTAACTCTTTGCTGGGTCACCTTTTTCCAAAAGTTCCAACATCATCAGTTCCCTGCTGTAAGTCAGTGACCACAGATGATCTTGGTGCTCGGACATCTTTGAGAATCCCAGCCTCTCTATTTTTTTTAATACTACAAAGTTTGACTGGACAGGCTTCCTCTTTAATTGCCCCTCTTCCTTCCTTGTGTCCCCACAGAGTGCCTTTGTTGATAGCTTGGAAGGAGACAGTCCTTTTCCCAAGAAGCAGGTCTTTACCCACAAGTTCCCTCTTATTCTCCTGCATTTTCTTTCTGCACTGAGCTAGACTTTTTGCACTCCTCTCCCACATCCCTGCAATCCGCCCCGTGCAAAATCTCCTCTCTCTGCCTCTTTGGCTTCCTTTTTCTCCTTCTACCTGCGTTTCCTTTTCTCCTCTACGTGTCCTAACTGTTGCCATTTAAAACTCATCCAGTCCCGACCGGATGCACTGCACTTGTCAGATAATTTACCTGATTTAAATTGGAGTTTGAAGTTATCCACTGGGCAAACTCTTTAGTGTTTGAATAGATAATGGATTGGAAAAATTCTGATGTTATAGATGGTTTTGGTGCAGCCTTACATTCTGCCTAATTTCTAATTCTCCATTTAATTGTTTCCGGCTTCATGCACATGTGTGTATTTCTTTTGCTTTCCTTTAAGTCTCCTGTTATTTTAATAATTTTTGCATGCTTCTGTTTTAATCCTCCAAGTGTCCCTCATTCCCTTCCCCTGCTTTGCTTTTCCATTTTGTCTTCTCCCCTCTTTTATTTTTGCTCATATCCCACTATTTTCCCCTCTTTTCGTTACTCTTTCTTCCTCCTCTTCCTCCTGGGGCGGCAGGGTTTGAGGGACAGGGCTGACTTGCTGGCTGTAATCACTGGCGCTGGAGCAGTCCCATAAAGAAAGCTCACTTCAGACATCAACAGTAGGAGCATCTCCCTTGTAGTTTTCATCACATTGCTACTGGGTTTGGTCTCAAAAATCACCTTGCACCATAGAGTGTGGACTAGGGGTCAATGTCTTTAAAATGCATTCATTGAGGAGGCGAATTGAGATCACCGCCACTGTAGTTTTACTTCTGCAGGTGCTGTATTGTAGGTTTCAGTTGACCTCTCTCTTAAATGGATGGCATTAAAAGCAATTGCCCCCTAACCCTGGTAGAAAAAACCACTAGCTTTACCTCCCACATAGCAGAGAATGGCTTTTCCATAGAGAATGGCTCACGACACAGTCTCACCTCCCTCTTCCCACTCCCTCCCTCCCACCATACACTCACTATTAGTGCTCACTTAGCATTAGCGCTACCACTGATACACCAGTACTGTACATCGACTCCAGTAGCTCAACCAATGCCCCGAACGCTGACTCATGCCTGATGCTTGCACTCTTACCACAATCATTCATTGTAGAAGTAGAAAACAAAGATGCTTTGTGTGTGTGTGAGTGTGTGTTTGGCACTTAAGAGTTCAATATGAACGCTGTCTTTTTAAGACTGCCGCTTGCGTTTTTACCCGTTTCTTCAGTGCAGGTGTGTGGTAAGTTTAATCAGACATGCTGCTTGTGGTGTTGTGGAAGTCTTTCTTCAATATATCACATTTGTTTCACAGGTTTTTGACAGGACACAGTAACCTAAGAGAGTTAAAAGAACATTTCAAGACATCTGTTGCTTCAGTTTTTTATGTGGAATATCTGTTAGCTTAGCATAAAGAGTTAAAGCGTAATAAACATGTGTCTGTGCCATCCAGCTTATTTCAGTCTCAGGCACTTGAGGTGAAAGCAACTGGACTCCATGTAGCAGGAGACTTTATCAAAGAGTGTTTGGTGGCTAAAATGGGACAAACTACCTGTGACCGGCCTCAGTGAGGTTAAAGGAAAAATAGGATTAAGAAGTAAATAATAATGCAAAGGGCCGAATGCCTCCAGGTCTGGTGAAGCATGACGTACAATTAAACAGCTAACCCAACTCTAAGCTAATGTTAAAAAACAAAAACAAATAAATATCCTCCCATAAGGTTTTTTTTATAGACTTTTTATTATTATTAAACATAATTTAGCTCTAAACCTCAATAATTTGCTTTAGGGGTGCTGGTTGACAGCCTAAATATCAATGACCAAAAAGCCCAAAGAAACAGTTGCGTATTAGTATAGTATTACTTATACTATACTATACTATACTATACTAATACGCAACTGTTTGATAGTATTTTGATAAAACAAACATAGTTACCTCCAAATGTCAAAAAGACTGCTATTACTGCTTCTAATGTGTGTTAATTAGTGAGCTTTAAAGGTAAGTGTTTGCAGA